TTAGGAAAGAGACTTTAAGTTTTCGCCATAAATTATTTAAAGAGGTGAAGAGGAAACGCGAAATTCTATCATTTATATACGTTAGATCCACGAAAATAAGACGCGTAATACATACTTGTTTATACACGTGATCAATCAATGATGAGATATAACTAGGGCTGTTAAAAGTCCGGTTTGGTTCGATTGGCTCCTGAAGCCGAGCTTTAATTGAGGTTCGGTCTAAAGACAGGTTTATTCCAGTCACGTGCATTTATAATATAATTATTATATATGTGCATTTATATGCGTACATTTATAGCATAATATCGTAACATAATACTTTAAATAAATATTTTAGTGCACACGAAAATATAATTTTTTAACTTGAAAGGTAAGTAATTAAAAATATTATTTTTATTGCCTAAAATATGTTGATTTTTATTTATAATAGAATGTCAGCCTCTACCCAGCTTTTCAAACATATCGAGGCTCTTGTTGTCTCTTCAAAAAGACTATTTCTTTCGGGACTAAGTGTGTTTTTTGCTACAGAGAAAACACGTTCACAAGGAACACTTGTGGCTTGTAATGCGAAATAATCTGCAGCCATGCAAGCTATTGTTGGAAATCGAAGAGCATTAGTTTTCCACCACAATAATGGATTTATGCTTGGTTCTGGAGGTAAGAAAAGGTATGTAGTTAATTCGTTTGTGGTTTCATTTTTCTCATTTTTATTTGATTGCACTAATTTTCGAAAAATTTCCAGCATATCTTCTTGTTTAGGTGATAATATTCCATTATCTATATGATATGTTAAATAAGAAATCTTTAAAAGATTAATGGCCACTTGACGATCTTCATCATCAAAAGTTTCAAATTTGGTTGACGGATCAAGAAGAGCGGGAATAGTTGAAGTTTGTGAAAGGTAAGTCCAATACTTTGTTAATTTGTTCTTCATATTCTGTGCTATTTCACAATATATACTAACATTTGAAGTATAATAGTTAAGATGTACGAAAAGTCCTTTAATAATTAATCGTAATGATCCTTGAGTAAGTGATGAAGCATTTGATAAGACCAATGTTGCTTTATAAAAAGGTTTGAGAAGTTGAATTGTGTCATTAATTATTTTCCAGTCATCCGAATTTAAATAAATTTCTTTTAATTCAGGATGTGATTGCACAAGACCATTAGTAATATCTTGAATTTCGACAAGCCATTCAAGCATAAGATAGGTAGAATTCTATTTAGTTTCGACATCAAGTATAAGATGAAGAAATGAACGATTTAAAATAGCTGAAATTCTTTTCATATTTTCTAGAAGTAAGGGTGAATTTCGAATTTTGTTGCAAAATTGACGTGCTTTTTTTACTTAACTAACATATTTTTGTTGTCCTGCCTTTACAATGAGATTTAAAACATGTACTGCACATCGTATATATGTAAAATCAGCATCCATAAATTTTTGAAGGTATTGTAAACAGCTTTGATTATTTGTTGCATTGTCTGCCGTAAATCCAATTAATTTATCTTTGATTTCTAGATCTTCTACAAGTTTAAAAATTATTTCTCCAAGATAATCACCTGTATGAGAATCGTATAAAGAAATAAAATCGAGAAAAAGAGTTTTGATTGATCATTCAGAATTAATCCAATGAAAAGTAATTCCGAGAAAACATTATTGTGTGCATCCAGTCCAAACGTCTATAGTAAGTGCTAATTTTGATGAATTTTTTTTTAAAATATCACGTACTTTATTTCTAGCTAAATCAAATTGCTTTTTGACAGTTGTAGAAATTGTTTGACGGCAAGGGGTTTTGTAACACGAATCAAAATTATTAAATAACTTGATTAAAGGAGCTTCTTCAACTACAGAAAAAGGTTGTTGACTAAGGACAATCCATTCCCATAAATCCTTGTTCAAGGATTCTATACAATTTCTTTCAATTCTTTCAACCGTTGAATATAAAGAAAGATATGTAACTTTTGTGTTTCGTTTAAGATTTTGAAAAGTATGTAGATGTTTATTTTCAAAATGGCAAGTTATTGTTGATAGTGATGTGTTTGTTCCCCATTTATTATTACAAAGTTTGCAATTGTGAGAACCATCTTCAAGTATATCAAGGTAATCATGAATAGGGACAGGTTTTCGTTTATTATTTTTTTTTTTTATAATATGAGTACTACTAATAATTCCTTCTTCCAAATTACTATTATTTTCGATAGAACTTAGTATATTTTCAAAGGAAAGACTAGTGTCAAATGGATATTCGGTTATTAAAACTGAAGAGTTTTCGAAAGGTGTAGAATCTAATGAATTTTCGGAGGATGGGAGAATTGATGAATTTGTAGATAAATCTAATAAATCAAAATTAGATATTGATAAATTAATAATCGAAAAAACGAAAAAATGTTACTTTTATAATTTTAAATAAATTACTGTAATATTAACTATTTTTCTTCAAAGGTTTTTGTTAAACCATCTTAACAATGTTTCAAAGCCATCTTAACAATAATCATTTACATTATTAAATTATATAATGATCTTACCTAATTTATTAAATACTCTTTGTTCAGATAATAACTTAAATAATAACGATAAATGATTAATATATATGGTTACATCTATTTAATATATCATGTGACTATATTGAGAC